CAAGCCAGCCGAAAACCCCACCACAAGCACCCAGCCTGGGAGACAAACAAGTGAAAAGAAGCGGGAGACAAATGAAAGGAAGTGGGAGACAAGCTTCACAAGCACCCACAAATGAAAAGAACTGGGAGACAAGTGAAAAGAAGTGGGAGACAAATGAAAGGAAGTGGGAGACAAGCCAGCCAGAAACCCGACTACAAGCATCCAGCGTGGGAGACAAATGAAAAGAACTGGGAGACAATTAAAAGGAAATGGGAGACAAGTCAAGCAAGTGGGAGACAAGCCACCCGGACAAATGAAAAGAAGTGGGAGACAAATAAAAGGAAATGGGACACAAATGCAAGGAAGTGGGAGACAAGCCAGCCGGGAACCGGACCACAAGCACCCAGCCTGGGAGACAAATGAAAAGAAGTGGGAGACAAATAGAAGGAAGTGGGAGACAAGCCGGCCGGGAACCCGACCACAAGCACCGAGCCTGGGAGACAAATGAAAGGAAGTGGGAGACAAGCCAGCCGGGAATGGGAGACAAATGAAAAGAAGTGGGAGACAAATGCAAGGAAGTGGGAGACAAGCCAGCCGAAAACCCCACCACAACCATTCAGCTTGGGAGACAAATGAAAAGAACTGGGAGACAAATGAAAAGAAGTGGGAGACAAATGAAAGGAAGTGGGAGACAAGCCAGCCGGGAACCCGACCACAAGCACCCAGCCTGGGAGACAAATGAAAAGAACTGGGAGACAAGTGAAAAGAAGTGGGAGACAAATGAAAGGAAGCCTGGGAGACAAATGAAAAGCACTGGGAGACAAATGAAGGAAGTGGGAGACAAGCCGGCCGGGAACCCGACCAGACCATCCAGCACCAAGGCAACCATTCTTTAAAGCATTGAGAACCCCTAACAGTATACTGTTTGGGGAAAAAGACACCCGGCGTGGCCCATGGGGCGGCCTGAAAAACTCTCTGGCATTCATGCACCCAGCACTTGATGAAGTCGTCACCCGTCGGGAGCGATTCTTTGCTGCAAAGGCAAATGCCTTGATTCACCTCGGCGCGGTACCGAACAAAAAAGGCGCGGTGGCTTGGCGCAGGGTGTTGCGCAGCTTGGCACGGCGCGCGGCGCTGACTTCTCGGCGCATGCACTCGGGGGGGAGTTTGGGACAGTCTGAGTCGAGCAAAAATAACAGCTTGGCCATTGCCTTTGTAGAGCAGTCCAAAGAGATCACACTCACCGAAATGCTGGTCATTGAGATCACCAAAGTTCGGTGAGCACGAACAAGTTCACCGCGTTTTGTCAAGTACAAGTACACCGAACACCCGCTGTGAACTCAACATGGCAACACGCGATCCCATGGGATCGTGGCCTTTGCCAGGTCTCGCAAATTGAAGGTGTAGTGCGACCTGGCAGGTCGTCACTAAAAATGACTGCTCGTTCCGCGCTCGGCTCGCGCGCTCGTTCAGCGAAGTTCTTTCATCTATGACGCGGCTAACACACGGGAGACGTGACTAGTAAGTGTCATGGGCGGGAATAATTCCGGAGGTGGTCGGGTGTCACGTGCTCTTTTCACCGAAAAAGCATGCGCCTGATGAACTGAACCATCTACAATCAGAAGCTAATCAGGAGTTGGGGGATGTCAATGATCTTCCAAAAGCTTGGTATGAGTTGCTCAAAAACATGAACTCTCAGGTCCTCACTTCGCAGGTGTCGGCAGCATGTTCGCAGAAATCGTGTTGTACACATCCACCTTAACTCATCATGTCAATGGTGGCTGAGCTGAAAACGGAGCTCGAAAGCGCAAAATTGAAAGGCAGCCCAGCACCTCTGGGGCATCTCTAGGCCCAAAATCGCTTGTTTTCGCCCGGCATTCCTTCGACATTGTCAATTGTGTTCCTTCAAAGTAGGTCTGGCAAATGGCCCTTTCGATAGAGGAGTATGGGGATGTATGGGGCGTCCCCTTGGCCGCCCGACTGTCGCTCGCACCACTGTGCCACTCAGACCGCTCACCTGCAACGTCACGGCCGAAGAAAATCAAAAATTAGTCACAGAAACTTCATGAGTAGATGTGGTTTTCGCCTTCCATCTAGGACACCTCTTGTCAAACCAAAAGTACATGCGTGTCAGCCTACAAAACAGACACATGTACGGAAAATACAACATCCTGAAGACAGGAAGTCTTGCTGCGCTCCTGCCTGGCTGGGAAACTTGCCCAGAAACCATTGCCTGAAAAAGGGAAAAAACCACTCCACCACCGGCGAAAGTGGCTGATCGTTCGGCGGCAAAGGTGCTGTGTGAGTGGGTGAGTGGGTACGCGTGAAGCCTGTCCGTCCGCTATGTGCCGTAAGCCTACGAGTGCGGTCGCTGCAGTCGTCAGGCTGAGCTTCCCCACATGATGGTCTGGAAGATGCGCTGGAGGCTTTCTCCCTGGAAGGGCAGAAGGTAGAAATAGTTGTAGTGCCTGACAGTGGTCACGATTCAAGACACTCCAAGGCTTCCAAGGTCTCACCTGCTGTTGTGAGTCTTCCTCGATCGTTTGCTAGTTCTTGTCGAACAAAGTTTGTTGAACAAAGCTGGCCTCTGATATCGAGCTGTAATCTGTGGTCGTCCAGCACTCGGCGTCATCGCGGCAATGAAGTTCAAATCCACCAGTTGCCGGAACCTTGACACCAAAAAGATACACATGCAGCATGCATTCCCAACCAACCATGCACACTACGCCACGACTCCGCACCGACCTGTCGACAGCGCTCCGTGGAGCGTTCTGGGTCTTCCGGACTCACAGGTCTTTCGCTCGTACCAGCCGCTGGTATCCATCCATTGCCTCGCGGCGCTCGCCGCGCGCGGAAGCTGCACGGTTCTGTTGCGAGACGGCGCGGGAGCTGGTGGAGCTGGTGGATGATGGTAAGATGGGGGAGCAGTTCCGTCTGGCTGGCTGAAGTGGGATGGATTTCCAACAATGTTGGGAGAACTTAGACATCGTCTTCTCCAAAGGTTTCCACATCTGCACAGAAACTCGAGGGTGAAGGACAAGCGAGGCATGCTGGGAAGAAAGAGTGACTTTCTTACAACTGTCACTGACAGCAATGCGTGTGAAGAGCCAGTGGCAAAGCTCCATTGTGATAAACGCTGGCCTCAAAAGCTCAATGGGCGGCTGTGCACCCCACTTCTCCTAGCGGCTGGAGACCAAGAATTCAGTTATGGCAAACAACTATCACAGCTGGATCTGCATGTCACCTGCCCAGTCTTTGGCTATCTATCTGAAGATGTGAACTCTTGCCTCAAAGCCGACCCCGGAGATAAACCCCAATAACCACTTGGAATGATAATATATACCACTTGGAATTAATAACAAAGGCGCATGCTGTATACTACTGACCTATGCCAAGAGAAGCAATGCGATTCCAATCCTTGGCTGGCATGTTCAGATCATCGACGAAGACGAGGCATCGCTTCCCAAAGGGAGGACCATAGCAGCCCTTCTTCCTGGGTGTGGGCAAAACATGGCAAAAGTAGATCAGCTTCTGGTGGCTCATGAAGTTTGGTGCAGCAAGTACGCAGAGATTCGCAAAACCCATCGGATCCATAGAGAGTGCTGTTTGACTGGGTTCCAGGCCGCTTGTCAAGCTTTCCATCAATCACATCCTGGCTGCATGCAATATGATAAATTGTAAATACAGGAGGCAAAAACAAACTGGACTGGTTCAGCACCTTCTCTTATTTCTTTCAATCTGTTTTTGAACTTTAGACCTCCGTGAGGCTTCTGATCCCTTCCCACTAGGAACTTTTGATGCAGCCGTTAAATCCGCACAGGTTCCTACTAAACCGGGGTCGTTTGAAGTACTGGTGGCAAGGGAGAAGTGCAACATCTCCTGTGTCTGATTGGCACTGGACTGTGCACTGAAGGCAAAGGCAAAGGTGCTGTATTTCCTCAGCGAGCACGGCCATCTCAGTGACCAGCGACCCGCAGCGCACTTGGGCGCATGTTTCACCTGAGGCGAAAACTCCCGGTCAAGGCCCTTGAGAAGCTGCTGCTGGACCACAATCGTCTTCCCCGTCCCTGTAGGTCCTGACCACAATCGAATGCACGGGAGAATGCACAAATGGGATGCAAAGTGCTTTCCCAGCCGGTCCGAACTTGTGGGACTCAATCCTACATATCCAAAATTGGCCCAGCTCAGCACCTTTTAATTGCAGGGCCCTTTGTATTCAGAAGCGCGCCTGCGAAGAGAACGTGGAATTCCGCCTTGATCATGGTCTGGAGCAAGAATGCATTCCTGCAAGGCCAGGAACTTGCAAAGAGTCATGGCAGCCCAGCCCAGCATCGACTCTTCTTCAGCCTTGCCTTGCTGTATCTGACGTGGGTATGATCAGCGAATGGGCCTGCCAGAACGAAAGGTCTCTCTTGAAGGTCTCTTGAATGGTCTCGTCAGAAAACACAGTACAGTAAGTTCATCAGTTAGTTCATCTCTCTCAAACTTCAAGGGCTTTCCAAACCTCTCCCAAGAAGCCAACAGGCTTTGTCTCCAATGACGCTTTTCCCGCTCTGAAAGACATCGACCAACGCTCCGTTTCCACCGTTCGCCTCAGCATCCTTGGGGATTTCGAAGGAACCGATCTTCTTGCTCCAAAGCTCCCACCTTTCGGAAGCTACATCGGCTTCCAAGCAAGAAAGAAATCAAGCAACCCAATGGCAATTACCATGATTTCATTGATTTCATGTGATGCGCGGTGCGAGCTGAACGCAAGGTGGCAAGGTGGCAACCACCCTCTAAAAAAGATATATATATATATATATTTATAAGTTTCTCGATTCTTCCAACGGCGTTCCATGTTTCTTCTCACACTGGCCGTGAACGCAGAATGTAGCTGCTGCTTCTTTTCTGGACAGTGTCAAAGGCTGCGGCTTGTTCCCACTGGGAAAGTAGTCGAAAACGCTCCCCTCCTCTGGAAATCCTGCTGGCCTAGTCTTGAGCAAGGAAACAGGCGACACTGGCTAATTAAGCAGGTCAATTCGTTGTTGCAACTTGCAATGGAGTGTGCATGGTAATCTGCAAATCCAAGCTCACTGCGCACCACGTGGTGTGCGTGACATGGGCCTTGGTTTTTAAAGGATTCCAGGTTCACATATCATAGTAAGGTGATGAGAAAGCTTCACTTCACACGTTAAGCTATCAAATACATCCAAATACCTTCAGTTGCTCTCTCTCTCCCGCTCATCCATTCTCATCCACTGAGAGGGAAACTCCTCTCCCAGCAGTTGGAAGTCCGCCTTGAGGCCATGGCATTGTCCTCGCCCCACGTCTCGACATGCGTGGGCTGCTGTGGGGGGGGAGGGAAAATCCGTTCTGTCGAAACGTGTCTAGACCTGTCTCCATTTGCCTGCAGGAGTTCCCCACCAAAAAAGAGTGAGCAGGTGACTGGAGTGAGGAGGTGACTGGAGTGAGTCTGGACGCCTCTGAAAGGTTTCACTGGGTCATGGCACCCGGAACATCCTGGTTGACCGGTCAAATGAACAGATTCCGTCGACCAGTTGCGGGATGTCATACGACGACTGGTGTGGGAGGTGTCGACCAACCAGATCACTCACTGTCCGACCAATCATGCAACAGCGAGGGTGTGGGTTGAATGCTCTCCCACCTTGGCTCATTGGGGAATCGTTGAGGTGTCGACCAACGCCCCACCAAAAACCAATATAATCCACATCGACTTCACCTTTGACCACACTCCCAACGCCTCAACCAAACTTCGATCTTTCACGCCCTTGATCACACGGCCATGCGCTTTCACACCGCACATGCAACCCGTGACGGCCATCTACGGCCATCTATGTAGATGCCGTCCTGATGCCAGGCGCCGGAAGAAGGGATCCAGCACCATGCGCCCATCGCTGTCGGTGACACACCCGAAGCTCCACACCAGGCCTGGCCACTGGCCGCGCCGTGCGGATCCGTTCGGCGGCGGAGACGGAGACGGAGACGGCGCGGTGGCAAAGGTGGCGGGAAGACTGAGCCAGTACAAGGCCTGGCACAGTACCAGGGTGAAAATGGCATGACATGGTGTTCAGGACGCAACAGGTTTAAAGGCAATAGAGCTTTGCTGAAAGACTGTCTTATATAAGCTCTTGTCCTGGACTGTGGGTGCTTTCAAGGACAACAGCCTAACAAATGCTAACAGGCGTATATAGCTTATATAGTCACGGATGGTGTGGAAGGCGGCACGGCACCTCCAATCTGCTCTCCTTCTCTTTGGTGGGCAGATCCTTCGTGCTTGGATCGAGAGGAATCTCTGCCTGCCACATTCGGCCGATGGATTCCGAGCAGGTTCACCGCTGAAGTCACATCAGGTATACCGTATATTTTAATAGGGAGACCGCCCAGTGAAGGACCCCCATGGAAGCTTCGGAAAATAGACGGCAAATGCAGTGGTTTGGGATCTCCCTAATTTAAATGCACGCTTACATCAGCTCATCTGGTCTGCTGCATTCTACTGCTAGGTCCAGTGGTTCAAAGACAAATCACCGGAGAGGATGTAAGAGCATACAGACCATGCATACGTGTTTGGTCTCTCCTGGATCAAGGCCCAATAGAGGTGGAGCAAATTCAGCACCAGCCAGTTCAAGCTCACAGGCACCGGCTTGTTGACCTTAGGGAACACATTGAAGTCACAGTTGCCACTGGTCCGACTTGGACCTGTGGGCATCCCGGATGGGCATCGGCCCATCCTGCTTCGCAAAGCCGGTGTTTAAGCTGCTGACCTTTCGGGAGACCATCTCCCAGCAGCAGTCCACGGAGAATTCCATTACCTCCTGGGCGGTGCATCTTAGGACTCCACATGGAGTCTGAAATGCGACCCCTTCTGCGTGGGTCACCTCACCCTGGCATCATGGAAGTGGAACATGGCCCCTGAATCATGAGCATGTTCCTTTACAAATGGATGATAGTCGAGTCCACCTCCACTTCCAATGAGCATTTTCCAGGGAGTGTAATGATGTAACACCTTCAACACACATGTCCATTCTCAACAGCCATGGAACCAAGACAGTGCCGCTCAGCGATTCGTCGGTCGAAGACGGTCGTCCGGGTGCCTGAAGCATGGCGCTCTGGTCTTTCAGCCGATCCGGCAATCGTTCGCACCTGGCCACGGTCGCCATTCGAGGCGAACGCCACATACAGGTCCGAAACGCCACGTTTGGGAGAAACGCCGCGTTCGGTCCGGTTGGCAGAACGAAAAATCGGTCTAAGTTCACAACCCTGTAAACTTCATAGAGCTGCTTTGCAGACTTTTGCAGGGGTTCCTCTTGGAGGACACTAGTTTAATTGAGGTGTCAGAGGCTTTGAGTTGTTGATTCAATCTTCACCTCGCAGGGCTTTGATTGAAACTGCATGAAAATGCCTGAAACCTCAGAGAAACCGAGGCCATGGCCATGTGAGCATCAGCACATGCCAACCGATATCCAGCTGCTCTAGGAACACCATGCCACAGCGAGAAACCTCAGTCAGCGGACGATCGGGATGGTCCGCACGACTTGCACCGATTCGCATCCACCCGGAGCGCACGGAGATCTCACAGCTTCATCTTTTAGCTTGGGTATCTCCCATTACCAGGGCCCAGTGGATGAGGATGAGGAGGATGAGGATGAGGATGAGGAGGATGAGGAGGAGGAGGAGGGTCTTTAATTACATTGCATGTTTTCACCTGGGCTTTTACTTCAATCTGTGCTGCACAAAACGCCCAGCGCTTCCTTCGTGCGTTTCGCAGCGGTTTTACTCTTCGTGCCCCGACCGTGGCCGGTGAGGCAGCCGACAAGTCTTCGACCTGCGAGCGTACGCGGGCGCTCGCTCGCAGATGCTCGCAGGTCAACAGCGGGTGCTGTTGAGCATGGATGGAAGAGGTCCAAAACAGAAAAGACTCTGGTTTTTACATTTGGTGGAAGTGAGTGGAAGAGTACTCTGGATTTTACCACCCACCATTCTTTCAGTGGAAGAGTACAGCGACTCAACGTCGACCGTCCTCATCCATTCCTTCGACCCAACGACCTCCCCGTTTCCAGAGCCACCCAGTGGTCCGGCTTCACGGACGGCACATCCGCTCATTCCGCTCATGCCGTTTGCGCGCATCTTCGGCGCGAACGGACCTCGAACATCATGGTGGTGACCGGTGTGAGCCTCAGGTCCAAGACGTCGAAGGGAAGAGGCTTTTAAACCCTCTTAAACCCCTTTTACGGCATGATCCTGGCCGCCCTGGCCGGGTTTGGAGGGTTCTGAGACGGCACTGAGACAGCAGCTGATTTCTCTTCACAACTCAGATCCGAATGATTGTTATGTCTGTCATGGTTAAACTTGATTAAACTTGGCCTGTCAAACGAAACGAACAACCCAACACCCAGACAACGTCAGGTCATGCAGGTGTTTGTTTCACCCGGTGCATCTGCCGGCACAGGTCTTTCCCAGAAAAAAGAAAGCACAGCAACCTTTTTCTCTTGAGAGAAAATGAACACCATCCCCAGAAGCTAAGAGAAGGAGCTGTTCATAAAAAAAGAAAAGGCTCACGGCAGGAAAGCCTGGAAAGCCTGAGGTCGGCGACTTGATGATTTCACCACTGTTCAAGCACAGCTTTTTGTTGTCGTCCAAGACGGTGTTCAGATTCTCCACCCAGACCTCGGTGGAGCACGCCATCCACGCCCACGGCATCCCACCGCGAGACACCTCGAGTTGACCATGGAGACACCCCACCCCACGGCATCGTGGGAGGTGAGGAAGGATGATGTGAGGAAGGACGAGGCGTTTCTTGGGATGTGGCGTGGGGGGTAAAGGAACAAGACTGAACAAGCACGGAGAACAGGCATGTGGCGTAAAAAACCTGTGGCGAAAGCCAGTTCCAAGGGCCAAAGTTCCAAGAATATGTTAATATGAAAAAAAGTAAGTAAACTTCTTCTATCTAAGGAGTACAACTATATATTCCGTGGTCCTTCCGGTCTGGTTCACTACGTGTTGTTGTCAAGTCTGGAACTGGTCATGGATGGATTCTCCTCCGTCAGGTCCCTCACTGTCCTCTCCCATGTCGGGAGACCTGAGGAGAGGACCATGGAGACTCGTCATGTCATGGGACGGATTGTTCCTATGTCATCTATGTTGAAGAACCGAAGGGCGATCACCCGGAACACCAGGAAAAACAATAACTGTCTTTCACACCTGTGCGGCACAGGTGTAAAGGTCGATCACATATCTGATTTAAAAATAAAATAAAATAAAAATAAAACAATAAGAACACAGTCCAATGGACCCGTCGACTGTCTTGCCCGACGGGTTCCATCTTTTACGCGAAGCGGTCCGTCCTGGATTCTATCTCTGTTCGCCTGGGGGGTTGCATCACTGCGTTGCCCGGGTTGCATCGTCAACTGGGTTTGCCCACCGCGTCGACTGGCCCGTCCAGGAGGATCCATTGTCGCTTGGTCAGCTCGGCAGAGGATGCGAAGCGAACCGTCAGGGCTAGGATGCCATCCTTAGCGACTGTCTCAGGTGTTGGACTGTCTCATGGGTAGCATGACCACTCGATTCAACACGGGTTGAAATTGCAAGGACAAATACATCATAACCCTTAGTGTCTTTTTTACGGGTCGGTTCTGTATTTAATACCGGCCAAGATGAGCGGTGTGTGTCAAGTTCGTCGGCTCTAAGTGGCCCGACAGTCCACTCTTGCGTTCCTTCATCATTTTCGCCATACAACTGGCCCTGTTTGATGGACCTCGGCATGGTTTCCCGGCAAGCTCTTCTCGCGTTTAACATGGGTAGAGAACTATTGCCCAAAAAAAAACTGCAAAAAAACACTGAAGATTGCTGGTCTCGGTGATGTTCCATGGTTCATGATTTTCCGGGCAATAGTATGGCATTTGCCACATCAAATGACACCGCAAATGCATAGATCTTTGCAATGCTGCGCCCCTCGAGGGTTGGACTTCGGATTGATCTTGTGAATCTGCACCTGCCGCTTTAACTCGATTCGTCGATTCGAGCCCAACCGGTTGGGCTTTTTGCAGCTTTCAGTCCAACCTTGTTCATTGAGCATGTGAGATTCTGATAGATACTTCTTCTGCTCAATTTGGGGGATTCCGAAGAAAGAACAAAACATTCCATTACGTTCCTATAGTAGAGATGTCTGTTGCTTCCTATTCTGCGTCCTCAGGTTGAAGGACTCATTCATGTTGTTGGCGTCGCCGACGGCGTCGCCGACGGTCACACCGGAAGGTAGTTCTCGCCATCTGCCACCGCAGCCAGGGCCGCTGCCAAGACCTGTGGCGCCAAAAAGGCAAAATGCATCCGGCCTCAAAAGTCCTTGAATGATGTGTTGGACAACTTCAAGTATAGAATCAAGTCAATGGCATGTTTGGATGCTTCAATGGTTTCAATAACCAGCAAGGTTCTGAATAATTGTACAATGGCTGAATTCAGAGAACTGAGCCACTGGCATTTTCCACTTCCGTTTTTCCTGAAACTGTTTGGCCGACAAGCATTAGTCCATGCCGCACCATGATCGTCTCCCACAACTGGATGCCTGCCATGTCAGCTCCAAATCGGCACTCTATGGAGACTCCACGAGGCGAATAACACCTAAAGGCTGGGAGGAGGCACTATGTCTTCAAACGAAAGTGTCTAAGACCAGTAGATTGGAAGCTTTGATGTCCAAGATGTCCAAGATGCAAAGGCCAAACAATGCCAGTGGTGCACTTCTTGATGAAGCCTTGTTGTGGCTGCAGCACCAGACTTCGAGCACTTCCCTTGGGAGCGGATCAGGTCAACCGTCGAACCGTCGAACCCCAGGAATCCTTCGGAACAAGCCCATGCTTCTGCATCTCTTCTTTTGAAATGGCCCTTAAGGTGTGTCAAAGCATTGGTGCAGGTAGAAAAAAAGAGAACAAGTGAAATGCAGTTGTTCTTTCAGGCCTCAAGCTCATCGATCAACACGCCATAGTCCGATGGAGGCAACTCTACCTGCACATCAGTGCAAATATGCCAATCAAACACATGTTCTTTAACTGATTATAGTGTATAATGATGTCAAAAAAGGACCTGATCTTCTATACAGAGGTGCGTCTTGCAAAGAGGGGAACCCTCAAACAACGGAGTTTTCATGGCCAGGAACGCTTCGTTGCATCTGGCGGAGTCACGGCCTCTGGGAAGAGGTCTCCAGTGATGCCCAGGAACAATGGGATGTCATTTCGAGTAAACTTGGGCAAATTCACCTCAGGCAAAGGAAGAGGACAGCTATTGACATCAATCTAGCTAGGGCTAAAAAGGACAGTCAAGCAATCCTCGAGGGAACCCATCATTGGGGGAAAAAAATAAAAACACGGTCCCATCAGCACCCCCCGTTATTGTTGGGTTGGAGGGTTTTCCAGGCATCTTATAGAGAAATATGCTCTATTAAATGGGGTCACCACCTGAAGACTCAACAAGCGGTCCCAGCGGCATCATTCAACGCGGAGAGCGCCAGCTCCTGCTCTGCACGACTCGATCCATACTGGCGGCGCAAGGCACCAGCCTGGGGCTCGCTGTCGGCAAGGCATGCCGGCCATGAGAAGAAGAAGTGTCGATGCTCTACTGAAATCATGTGAAAGCCTTTTAAAGGTGCCCGCTTCTCACTGCCAGCATCAAAGAAATCTCTGAAGTGCAAGTTATTCTCTATGGTTAAAACCGTTTGATGCTTCTCCACCATCATGCTTTCAACAGACTTAACAGACTTGCAAGTTGATATGACTGGCCTTTCTGCTTTCAATGCGAGGGCTCCAAAGTTCAAAAAAACGAGAAGAATCGTGGCCAAGGGCCCTGCCCTCACCAGAATGGACTTGAGCGCGCGCATGCCAAAGTCATAGTGCTCCTAGATCAAAGCCAGTTGCTGTAGCCGCTGTAGCCCCAGAACTGATCCAAGCCAGTGTCGGAGTTGGTGCTTTGGGCACCACAGTTGCTACAAAATCCACCCTACAACACATTTTGGGATGGTTCCTGACTTCGTCCCCTTTAAGGAGGTTATCTTCCCCCCCATTCGACAAACATTTCCTGCAGTGTCCATCAACCTCCGCTGACGACAGCGCGGCTCCTGTGACGACAGCTGCTCGGAGCTCAGTCGAAGACTTCCGACGGCCTGACGGCGAGAGCACCCGTGCCTCCTCTCTGCAAGTGGAGGGGCAAGCCAGCGGCAAGCCACAAGAAACAGGTGTTCATTCATCGTTAGGTCCCAGCTATTGGTTGCCCTTAAATGGTGGTTCTTAAGTAATGATCATATCAGCAAGAAACAAAACCCAAAGGTTCTTCGCACCTTTCGGGCCAGGTTTTTCGCGTCTTCAAAGCCTGAAGGGGAACTCATTTGCGGCGGTCTTGCCCCTTTTCTCCCTCACTCCCTCTTCCACAGATCATGATGGTAGCTTCGCACTAATCAATTCCAACACTTACTTATTGTTTGGTGCTCATTCTGTGTTTGACAAAAGCTTGGCGAGCCACCGTTGGAGTACAGAACGATCTCACCAATGAGGGCATAATCAGGGACCTTGGCTGAACAAAAGTCCACATTGCACTGACCAAATCCCGAGAAGATTCTCATGGAACCGGGCGACTGGCCCGGTTCCAAGGACGCTGAAAGACCCATGTTCCTCTACAGACCAGGCATGGTTTGAGGTGGTTCCATGTAGGTCTCTTCCCCGGTGTACATGATCAGATCTAAGCTTGAACAAACAAGCAAGAACAGACAGAGACAGGCTATCCATGCCGCCCCTAAGGATCCGACCATCATGGCGCACGGCCGGAACAACGCCTTCGATTGACATGGCTGGACCCCAAGTTCTGGACTGTGCTGGAATGCTCAAGAAAAGACATGGAAAGCGAAATGCCAGTGGCAGTGCCAGTGGCCTTCAAGTTGTCGGGCAGCTCAGACCGGCCGGCATAACCTTCAGATCTTCGATTTTGGTGACACAACATGTGTGAGACTTTGGGAATCACTCATCAATCCTAGTTTGCGCTTGCGCATTGCCTGGATTCATCGTGATGTTCACGGCACAGGATGGAATTAGCCTTGAATGCAGGTTCAATGTTCACTACATGTCTGCTTAGAAATGTATTGAACCCACCCATGCATAGTTTAACATCAAAGGGTCATCACATCTAGAAGTGCCAATAGCTATCAATAGCTTCTGAGCCCTTTGCCTGATCTGTGTGTCTTCGAAATAGAAAATGTCTTTCTTGTCCCTGATGGCAAACTGGATGGTTTGCACCTGGCAATGTTCACTGCACATGCTTGAGACACAAGCATCTGGACAGGAAACTCTGCAGGCCTGTTGAGAGACCACGGACAACACCTGCATCAGAATCAGACGAAAGCAGGGAAAGAAAAACCGTGACTCACTGGCTTTCAACTCTTACGAGTAGCAAACCTTTTGAAATCCATGATTAGATCAAAACTGGTCAAGCAGATTTGTCAACTGGCGCTCTAAAGAAGCAAATTCTTGCAGTGTACTCTGCCTCCAAGTTGATGCGGTTGAACTCGTCAAAGCAGCACCATGCACCAGAGGATGCGATGCCCTTGAAGAACTTTCCCATCGCCTTCAGATCAGAGTGGAGGCAAATTCTTCACCAAATGCTCTCCTAGCCAGGCTGGGCTGCGAGCCAGGTAGTCCAACCCATCCGAACAATTGAAGACCTCATCAGTTTTGCTTCAATGAAGATCCAAGCTCTTTCAGCCTGTTGCGAATCAAAGGTCTTTCGTGTCCACTGATTTCTTGCTGACGCGCGTTTCTGCCATCTTGCCAAGGACTGCACCACGCACTGCACGGCAACCGCCTTTGCAAGGTCCTTGTCAGGATGGCAGGGAAATCAATCCCAATGACAAATGTTTGGGGAGTGTTTCACAACATTGGCATCTTGCCGAGAAAACTCTTCGCAGATTGAAGGAGATACTTCAAAAACAAATGCAGATCCAAAACGAATCCCATCCACGGGGCGAATAGACGAATCTTTAAGAAATAGATACCCTCCTGACTCACTAACATGGAAGTGGAAAATATCCTACTTGATCTTCGGACAATGCTCTTGACAGTGGCCATGGCATCCACGTAACCAGCATGTATTTTCTTTGATGTCTTCGGTCTTCATCAAGAGTCTGGTATATGTCGGTAAACTCAGACTAACTCACACTCCTCCAAGAGGACCTTCCGCTAGCAACACAAAAGAAAAGAAAGAAAACGGCCGCGGAACGGCCTTCGAACGACCGCGGAACGGCCGGGCTCCGGTTCCGACGGCTCCTTGGTGGACTCCGTCTTGCCGGTGCCCGCGGGACCCTCCGGGCCGCCGCCATAGTAGAGATGAAAGGCGCCCATGAGCCTGGCAGACTTGCGAGAGAATGGGTGGGGGGGCCGAAGCAGTGGGGCTGGGAGCTGAAGCTTCTGTAAGAGTCCCCACACCATCCATATTGCTTGAAAAGGATTCCTGAACAAAAATGAGGCACCGCCAAGTGACCAACTGAAGCCCACCCCTGCATCTGGCAGTCTAGTTCTTCAAACAAAGCTACAAGTCTTCGGCACGAGTCTTCACATTCATTAGGGCTTTAACTGGTGCCGCACAGCCCCAAACCTGTACTGTTGCTTTTCCATCACGCATCATCACTTTCATGTTCATCAGTACAACAATGACAATGACTCTGGCATGCTCAATTTCAGAGACACCCCCTGTGGCATTGATTAAAGGGCTAGACCGGCAAAGTGCAGTTGCTTTGCACACATGTTTCGATCTTGCGTCATTCGTATCCTGCGCTCTAACCAAACAGGCCCCAGCAGGCGTGCGGTAGCACCGGTCGGTGAGAGGTGTAATCACCAGTCCTCGAATGTCAGGGCGGGCAGGGGAGAGGATAAGATATGGCTGGCTGTGGAGGTCAAAATCTGGAACCACACTCTGGTCCACCATGGCGACCGGTCTGGTGGTACAACCGGGAAGGTCTCTTGGTCCGGCGCGACCCTTCCGCCATGATCGTATCGTAATATGTTTGGGGTCGAAGGAAACAGCTGCAGTCTCTTCTGCCACATCAACGATACTGCAGTGTCCTTGTTTTCCCACCAACACGCCAATCCCAATGTCAAGATGACACTCCATGGGCAGGCCCATGAGACCCACCCACACCGAGCTCGCTGCGCTGGACTCGTCCCGAGCAGCGCTTTCCAGCCAAAGGCACGGTCACTGTTCCCCAGGTATTCAAAGCCGTAGTAGAGTGTGGCATTGATGATCGAGACCTGCAATGTTCGCTACGAACGGAGCATTTGGAGCATCGCTACTACAGTAGTAGCGATCGGACGATACGAACGGAGCTCCTGGCCATACTACTGGTAACAAGAAGCTACTAGTAACAAAGGAAGAGGGTCCAAACATCAGCAGCCCAAAGTCCACCAGCTCTCTAAAGCGCGACGGTCGGCATGGACGTGTTGTTGCGTGACGTGTTGTTGCGTGACGTGAACGGTGGTGCACGCCTCACACTTGTCAACGGTGCTGGCCTTTCCAGTATCCTGGGCACAGGTAGTCTCACCATGGAGCCTTTGTTGGCTTTAAGGTGGTTTGGTGGTTCCATTGCACAGGTGGTTTCATTGAAGTTTCATTGAATGCTCAAGAAATGCAATCCACGCCTTGAGGGTAATAGAACCCTTCTGACGCCAGTAGTATCGCAGCTGAGCAATCCAATCGAACTCCTTCCAAGAAAACCCGTCGATCACAAGCTCTTAGCATGGACAGCCAACGAGCAGGGTCGGGTCAAAACCCCCATCAATCCGTCAAGAAAGAAACCAAGAAAGAAAGAAAAGGGTGTTCTTTACTCATCTTGATCTGACTTGAAGCTTGGCTTTGCTGTGTGGCGGCCATCAAAAAACTCCCAAACATTGAAACATCTCCCGACCTTGGACGATGAAATCTTTGCTTCTTTCAGGTTCTGAACCTAGCAGCCATCCAAGACAAGAAAGCTACGTGAAAGACATACAAAAGCAGTCACGGTCCATCTACGCGGCAGTCACGGTCGTGTGACCAGGCTTCACCCTGGGGCGTCCCTGCCACATCACGATTGTGGACGTCAATCGTCACCAGGGCACCAAGTGTCTGCCTGGGAAAGCAGCAGACCCGGCAGGACTGCTCTACACTTAGCGCTTGTATTAAGCAGCGGCGGCTTGAAAAAGCTCCCCTACACGAGGCTGATTGACGGTGCAGGGAATTCCAATAAGTTCCTTCTTCAACAAGAGCAGGTGAGCAGGTGAGGAAAAACAGCAGGTGGAGGAAAGCAAACAAAGTGCCACTTCACCAACCCTTACCTGAAACTCATTGAGGGTGTTCTCCCTCTTCACATTTTGTTGGGGTTCAAAAAAGACACCTGGAGGACCTGGCGCACCTCCAAAAAACACCTTGCAAAAAAACGGCCCCTCCAGCGGGTTGGTGTTCTTTATCTCCCCTCCATGCGTCGCGGAACAGCCGCGCGTCTTCCGCCCCTCGCCTGCCCAGCTTGGGGAGTTCACCCCGCACCAGGTTCACCAAGCCAGCGAGCTGATCTTGGCGGAGATTGCGGGGAAGAAGGCTGGGTCGGAAGGGGTGGGGAGGGAGGGAGTTGAAGGGCGGATCTCGGTGGATGAAGAGACTGAGAACAACAGACATAGATAGACATGGTGGGTTTTCAGAGGATGTCAAATAGGATGTCGGAGACAGGAATCAAAGAAGAAGAGCGAATTAGAAGGAAGTTCTGAGCAGACTTGACAAGAAGTTCCCAGTCTGAAATGGAGCTCAAGCTCACCTTGAGTCTTCTTGTGGTACTCTTCCAACTTTCCAGACCTTGGCACATCCAATTCGAAATCCGTCCGGACGTCGTGTTTGACTATACCTCTTGGAAAAAGAGAAAAAGAAAAACAAGGCCGCTGCTCAATGGCGGCAGCCACCTCTTGTGTCCAGAAGATATTGTCGATGCAAATCACCACCTGCTTCAGAGAAAACACGGAAGCCGGAAGTCACTTTTGGTCTTTGCGACTCAAAATGAACGACTCAAGATACGACTCAAAAGCAAAGGCAAGCAAAGGCAAGCGGCACCTGGCCGGGCCATTCCAGGACCCACTTTGTGCCTGAAAAAAACAGCTGTACTTCGTGTAGAAGTGGTGCAAAGATTCAAAGATCAGGTGCAGCACAACATGGTCCTTCTGCACGATGCGCTTTGACACCAGCCACTGCTTTCGGAGGACCCCTTTTTGCTCTCTGCAGCTCAGCTCAAGAATTGCAGAATGGCATCAGCTGAATCTTCTCCAGAAGCCAGCGCTCCTGTGGTGCAAGCAAGTATATAAGGATAAATTTGGCCAAACGCTTCCGCTGCTGATGTCCGCGCTTGTCGCCTTGCATGTAGCCGGACCAACGAGGATGAAAAGCTTCCCCGGCAAAGAAGAGCCTGGCCAACAGCGTCATTGGCGAGTTGACATCATGTAAATTTGCTAGACTCTCCTAGATCAATTCATGCTCAAGGTTTGGGGAGCTCGCGCCATCTCGCTGTTAGACTGTGAGAAACAGTCCGGGCAAAACCAGAAACGCCCTCCGCAACAGTGAAGTAATGGTGAAGATACTTTTGCAAACTTGGAGTTTGCCACTTGCCTCCAAACCTGTTAAAACTAAAAAGAGATAAAAAGAGTAAAACACTCCCACGCACAGACAGAGACTGCAAAATGCCGCCTTCCATGGCGCTGGTTGATCACCTCCCAGCCCTCGGGCATCGACCCGGTGGGTAGGAAGGAGTAGGAGCCCCGGAAGAGCGGATCGGAGGACCATCTCGTGGCCTGGCACGACGTCGCCAAGCCGGTAGCGGCCGTACGCGGCTGCTCCATCTATGGCCGGTAGCGATGCTGCTTGGTGTTGGGACCGGAAAGCGTCTGGAAAAGGAAACATCGGGAAAAGAAGGAAAGAAAAAGAAAACACTACCACTAGTGCCACTGGTATGTTTTTGAAGCTGCTTCAGTGTTTGGGAATATATGTCTTTATGTGACTTTTTTTCCTGGTGGTGGTGTCAACACGTCTTAGCAACCTGAAATCTCAAAGAGTCTGTCAAGCAGTCAAGCAGCTTGCAGCTGCGATCTTCCAGCCTCTGCCTGGATGATCTTCGGGAAGCTTTGGTACATCTCCTCAGGTTCTCGTGAGGCTTGGACGTTGGACTCATAGGCCGCCCCAAAACCGACGTGGAAAGCGTCCACGACAAGCTCGCGTCCCGTGTCCCAAAGACTCAACAAGTGCTGAACTGGGAGGATCCGTATAATGCTGTTGCTGCAGGGGTGCAGGGACAGCGTTGCTGCCCAGCTTCCGATAATGCTGTTGCCAACTCCTGCTTCAAGTCCTGGAAGGACCATGTTTGGATGAAGTTCTCCCCAGTGCGGACAGCTGAGTCTAGTGCTTTCCGCAAGTTCCGTGTCACATCTGGGCGTGCCAAGCAGCAAGCCCTGGCACAAGCAACCTCACAAGCTTGCCCACACGGGTGCAACCTCACTCCCTCCTCCTCAGTGAGCTGCTCAACACGTCTTCCCTCATCACCCGTGTTGGTGACGATGGCCATGTCCGGTGCCAACGGTTGCCAGACCTCAGCTGGTGGACTGGACGGTTTGGGGAGCAACTAGCAACAGCCAAAGTGAATGGAGCGCTGTGCACAAATTCCGAGAAGAATGAATTCCTTCGGGTCTTCAAGAATTGGTCACTAGATGTCACTATATAGTCTCTTTTGCACTGGATCATACCGGAACACTCTGACTGGGCGCCCTGGCAGATGGAGGCAGATCATCCCACAACCCGAAACCCGACGCTCGGAACCCGTGACGACACCCGCTCGGACACCCGGCTGCATGGCGGCCGCAGGGCTTTCCGACTCGGACGATGTAGTGCTCATCATGAACCTGCAGAGGAGGGCGAAGAAGAACTGAAGCTGCTCCCTTTGAAATCCAGCGGAGGCAAAAAGAACCTTCAATGTGAGGATTCGGTCAAAAGCAAGGAGACATGGAGATACACTTGGAGACACTTGGAGGATGTTGGAGGGATGAGCATCCATGAAATCGTCGCTGTTCTGATTCTTTCACTACGACTACAACTGAAGAAAAAGGTGACGTTACATGGCATGCTAGTCTCTGGTCTCTACCAAAAATGTGCACTAGACATCACTAGGCTATACTGCTCTCAATTCTCAACTCCTAATGTTTCCCGTCTGCTGCATCAAGATTTGAAGCAACCCTGCGAGGCACCCAAAGGGCAGATTCCAGCTTCACAAAGGTCTTGGTGTAGTTGCACATGGTCCTTGGCATGACGTACCGTGCTTCGCTTTTCGCTTGGTTTTTTCGCTTTGCTTTGGGTAACAGCCGGTAACAGCAGTCTGGTGTATTAAACCAGCAATGACATGCATCAAAGCTTCATGGAGTTCAATGCATGTCGCATCGGCGCCGGAAGGGGTGGGTCGAAACGAAGATCTCCAGCATTGAGGACTCCCAGACTCACCTCGCTGCACAGAGAAGAGGTTTCGATCTCGCGCCAGAGCTGAGGAATCTGGGTCGTCTGTTCTAATGAAACAAAGGTCGGAGATGAGGGGTCTTCTCATGACAAAGGGTCGGTCAACCTACCAGGCTGTTTTTTGGGGGGGCACCCGGGGTTTGACCGACCCACGTTACCATCTTCAAGTATAAAGGCAAGTTGCAGTGCAAAGCACCACACGGCTGGATAGATGGAATCCATCTCGACACTTGACCTGGGTTGTTTCGGCCATGCCAAAAAGAATGAGCAATCTGCCAATCTGCCTCAAAAAATCATTGAAAGAACTCTGATGTTCTGCAGAAAAGTCATATTGAAGCACATGGTTGACCAGCGTTCCAGAGCAAAGTGTATGAGTCTATGAGCCTTTCCACAACCCCATTCTTACAGTGTCAAGATGTGTTATATAAGTTAACTGTTAAAACAGCCATTCAAAATGACTCCCATTCGAAAAGAACAGGCAACCTAACTGTTCACCAATCCCTGATGTCATTCCCGCCTGCACTCGGTCTGGCTGTTGGATCACCTCCTCCACCACCGAGTTGCAGCGACACTCCACGCCTGGTCGGGAGCCGCTTGGATCGGGTCAGAGCCGTGGAAAAAGGGCTTTGGAGTCTCCTTGAAGGTCCTGAGGACCCTAAGCCTGGCTTGGAGGTTAGGAGGTTAGGAGGTTAGGAGGTTAGGAGCCAAGGGCTTAGGTTCTGAACCCTTTGAAGTCTCCTAGGAGGTTCTGAACCCGCTCTAGAAGGTGTGTGAATTATTGTTGAACATGGATCAGAAGACGCACAGCGTTGACTGTTCGCGAGCCCTACATTCCCTACATGGTATTGGGCCGACGTCCATGTTGTCTACATTCGTTCGCCGTGTACATTGAAGTCTGAAGTTGCCAACGCATGCAGTATCCCACAGGTGCTGTAGTTTGCCAAGTGGTTTTCGTAAAGCTGGTAGCTGGTCTTTTGAGTCCTTTGCAGATCACGGTGGCTACTGGCTACCACCCTCTCAGCGTCATGGACAAGATGTTGATCACGTTCAGCACCCACACCACAATGGTCAAAGCGCCATGCGCGTTTGCGCTGCTTCCAAATTAAATGAATCACGGTGTGCGTTCCGGCCGACCGAAGTTCGCGCGGCGCCGAACTTCACGCTCGCTCGGCTTCAGCGTCAGCTGCGTGGCACACCGAGCGGTGGCTCTGTAGAGCTCGAGTGGCACCAGCTCCGGCACCCTCGAAGGCCCAGAGGGTTGTCAAGAGCTCAGTTGGTCGCGTCACAGCTGTCGGAGCTTCACAGTTTGCTTCGCTGTAGGAGAGCAGCCACTGCTTGCTGAGAGCACGTGTCAGAAGTATTGCATCGAAGAAGAAGTGCAGACACATCTGGTGGCAGACTGGCCTTCACATGTCGGATTGGAGGCTCCAGAGATTCTCCCTTCGGACCTCATTGACTTGCCAAAGACCGATTTGCAAGAACACGAATTTGGAACACTCCCCACCCCCAGATGATATGCGTTCTCCTTGCTGTTGGATGCGGTTTTTGGAAACAACCCTAAAACCGCCGGGCGACACCCCAAAACCATCGTAGTAGTGCACATCCCCGGGTGTCGACTAGTCGGTTCAACTGACTTGGGTGTTCAAACGGGAGGCAGAGAGGGTCGGGTCTGACCATGTCTGACCCACAGCCAGTGTCATGCATGTTGGCGCCAGACTCCGCAAAAATGTAATCAAAAGTGCACAAACGATGCTAATACACAACACAAGAGACCCATCGGCAAGGGTTCGTGGAAGGAAAGGGATGCACAGTGTAGAAACAGCTGTGGCATCTCCACAATCTTCGGTGCTGATACGTCTGCATACAGGCCATCGCTGACCTTGTCTGATCCATTGGAGCAAGTATGGGAGAAAGCATGCATTTGACCCACAGTATGGGTTGGAACTGGCATGGAGCTTACATGGATCCCTATATCCTTCCAGAATCATGGG